TAATGATTTTCCGTATCTACCGCGACAAAGATGCGCATTTGATCTCCCTCGAGCAATTCACACCCCGATTAATCCCAAGATTCTCCATCGTTCACTTCTCGCAGGCGGCGTTATCTACCCGGGCCTCTTCGGTGCATGAGGCTTCTCGGACGAACTTCCCGACGCGACACCAGGACGAAAAAAGTCGACGAGCGAAATCGACTACGGCGGTGGACGTACCAGGATTCTCATTTTTGCTCTCGCGATGTTCCGGGTGCGTCCAGGAGTGAACTGGATGCTGATTGCCGTCGATTCCAGGTCTTATATACGCGGCACACTTTCGCCTTCGCCACCCGGGGGCCCGTCGGGTCCGAGGCCCCAAGTCCTATACCCCCACGTTACACCTCTTTGTTCAGCTACGACGATGACGGTCCCACCGTCCCGAGCGACCACCACTCCCCTTTGGGACAGACGCCCCACTTCTCCTCCCTTAACGAATACACGAGCCACGAAGAAACACTCTTCTCCTCCTTTAACGAACAGGTTTTATTCTCTTCCTCCTTCGTTGAATGCTCATACTTGCGATGTCTGACTTCTTTTTTTTCTCTCGTCACATATCTTCGCCGGTACCTTTGCTATGCTTTGGTTTTATATGTTACTTTCTCTGAGAAACGATGGACATACCAATCGTTATCGTCGTAAACTCCTCTTGGTGTCGGAAGCTGCCGACGTGACATCGATCGCATCCGCGTGTTTTTCCAGTTCGAGCAAATGCTCAGGTTAATCCAGTACGAGTTAGAACTCGTCTCTTTGCACGTAACGTTTGCTTGAGAATCGTAATGGGTTACAATCCGTTTACCGATTAACCGATAAATCAGTCAGCCTATACGGACATATCGAATAGAAACGCGACACGCATCAATTCAATAAATTCTCGTCGACTGTCACTGTGCCGTTGGTATCCATGTCTCGCACAAGAGATTTATACATCAATATGAGTTTGATAAAATTTCGTTGAAAAACCAGTTTTGTTAATTTTGGTGTTACATCTAATGACGCAATCTAATGACGTTTCCTTATTCCGGGATTTTCCTGTTTCGAAATGCGATTAAAGTGCGCTCCAGTCGAGTTTTAAACTGCGTGTCGTAGTTTCTTGAAGTAGAAGTACCTTGCGACTGGAACGGAAATCGGCAAAACCCTTCCGGGGGATTAAATCGCAATCATCGAAATGCGCAATCGATTGCACGTTTTGCGAAACCTGGTATTTTATTACCGTGAACTATGCACGGTCTGTTGTCTGATCGAACATGGGAGAATTGTATTGTATATTCTGACTAAATTTTATTCATATATCTTTCTTTTTTTTTCAAGACTCTTTTTAATTTATCTATGATAAATTTCAAACTTCTTATATAGGTATATACTAGTGTAGGACATTGACATATGCCAACCTAGTTTCTCTGTTAGTAAATTACACTAATTTCCTATCCTTTTCCGTGTTCTCCTGCAAGAATGCATAATTCACATTCCAGCGTTACGTCTAGTCTTCTCTATGTGTCTTCAATATTGTAAATTTTCCGCTTTCCACTCTGCCGTTTTTTCGAATAGCTTAGAATATTTTGATGGAGCCGTAGAAACGTTGCTCCTTTTGCTTTATTAATTCATTTATGATTTCCAGATTTATGTAACTCAGATGTAATTCAGATAATCAAGTCCCAATTCGTTATATATTATTAATCATTAATTGCGAGACAGTAGAGAAAAGCTTCCGGCAGTTTTGTAACAATTGTAAAATTTTTTAATATGATCGTACATTTAGATCTATAATGAGGAACTAAGGGCAATCGTATTAAAGAATTTTACAACAGTTGCAGATCTACTTTCTCTACTGAACGTAACCATTATTTAATATTGATCATAATTAATTTCAGCCTGAATAAAAAAAAAAACGAGAACACTTAACTCGACAAATGATTAAAAGCCAGAGCAGTTTCTCGAATTACACAAAATTTCTTTTCATTTTCATATCTTTCTCGATAAACCTGTCGTACGCCAATTGCATTGACGCAACGTAACGTACGTTTCATTCTACGTGCCATTCAATACGTCATTTTTCGTGGCGATCGACTGCAACGGTCACGCGAATCGCGCGCGGATCAACGTCATCCTCTCCCTTTCGCTATTACTGTTCCGTTTTCGTCCTCACCTCGTCCGTGTACGGTGCTCAACGCCTCGTAACGGTGCCACGTAATAGCGTACATACATACGTATATATAAATATAAATATATATATATATTTATAGATGCATACAGACAGCGTGCGGCACCTCGCTAGAATTTATCTCCCGCCGATCTCGTGGGTGCACCCATTACTCCCTTTCGTGGGATACGCGATCTCACGTCACGATCTTGCTTGGCCGGTCGACTAGTAAGTTCCGTTTTCTTCCTCCTCTTCCTCCTCCGTCTTGCATGCGGCCAAGTATGTCGATGTTTACCGGCGCATTATCCACGAGACGTGATTACCTTACGCGACGACGCTGTGTGGTATTATATCAACTCCACCCAGCAAATAACACCGCGCAAAGTTACTCGCGGAAATCCACGGGGTTACAAGTTGTTTTTCACGGGCGAAAGCGACGTGCTCCGTAATCGGAATGAAGGAAGAGGAAAAGAGATTCCTTTTTCCATCGAGAGATACAATTTCGCGCGCTTTAATTCATCATGTAACAATGACTAATCGGACTGGAAGCAAAAGCTCTCTAAAACGATTTCATAATCTGACACAGAAATGTGAATGACTTACTGTAAATTAGAAAAGATGGTAGAATTGAAATTGAAACCAGAGAAAGTGAACCGACGAGTGGAGTTTTCCAAATTTGATATGTATTTATTGTACAAAAAATTAATCAATTAGTGATATATTAATTACAGGAAAATTAAATAAGTTTATATAAAATCTTCTTATTTATTTTCTTCTGCTGTCCTAATTTGTCATCGTACTTTCTATTTGATTTCGTCATATTCGCTTCCATCCTTCCGCTATTAATTATTATTATATTAACAAGTGCTCGTGAAAAACAACTTGTAACCCCGTGGATTTCCATGAGTAACTTTGCGCGATATCATTTAGGTGGAGTTGATATAATATCGCACAGCGTCGTCGCGTAAGATAATTACGTCTTATGGATAATGTGCCGATAAACATTGATATACTTGGTTATCTGTGATTTTAATGAAGTCGTCATAAGGCTATCGTGCTGTTTGCTGACTAAAAAACCGCATTTGAATGCTCGAAATTGTCCGACGATGCTTGTCATTTAAAGCGAAGGTCTCGGCTCCATCTAACCGTGTAACCCAATTGAATAACTTTTTCTTTCAAGACGATTCTTTCCCCTTGAATACCGATACGACGCCTCGCTTTGCTATTTGGATACGCTCGCCCACCCGTGAAATGTGGATAGACAAGAAAGGTTAATCGATAAAATTTGCCAGTAAAAACAGCCGTAATTGCGAAATCAGGTGGCTGTCTCCTCGCAGAGAATTTCATAATGCCATAAAATTTATGTCGAATTTTATATTCCAGGGCCTGATCGGATTATCCGACTGCGTCTGAATACTGGCTTTATAACAAACCATCTCTCGCAATTTCGCTTCTGTATACCGAAAGAGCAAATTAATGTGCAATTAACGATCGCTATAATTAAAAGTGCCATAATTAATAGAGCAGCTATTTACGCCGGTTATAAAATCGATTATAAAACCAATGACATGCAGAATTCTATTTCCCAACAATCCCAACGTACAGTAGTGCATCCGGGACAGCTTACGTTGGTTATAAGCTGCGCGTTCCTTCCTGAAAACTTTATTTAGTCTGGGAAATCAGATTTCATTAATTTCGTCGATGACTTCACGCACGCACTGATAGTCGCAATATATACATATGTATACATGTACGGACGTTACGAGTGTTACAACACTTTCGTACGTTATTTTTCAAACGACGGGAGACCCGGTCAGCGAGCGAGAGAATCATGGAAAGTGGAAGTGTCGGAATAACAATGCCGCAATTCCGAGCCGCGGTTCCCCGGGCGGATCGCCTGGATGGTATTACGTAAAGGTCGTTGCCGATGAAGAGTCTCTCGGTGAAATGGCGGCATGCTTACTGGTTTATTGCCGAGCGTTCTCTTTCTCTCTCTCTTTCTCTACAGTCACTTACGTGACAGCAATGCCGATCTACACGCTCGATGAAAGCGAGAGTACTATCTTTACCGTCATATTACTAGATCCATAGAAACCGAGGTTCTCCGTAACCCCGCCGACCTTATTGACACTGGCCTTGAAAGCGACTGCTTCAAGGTGCACGAAAATTGACAGTTTGAACGTGACCGCATCGTTTGAGCGCATCGTCTATCTTTAGAGCCGTTTCGACTTGAATCTAGACTAGTCATGAATAAGTAATCGAATCGCTCGATATATACGAGTAATTTTTCTCTCTAAATTTCTCTCGCTTTAAAAGACGAAAAATGCCTACATATAATATATTAGGATAAATTTATGTATGCATATGATGTATTAGGATAATAATTTATGTTATACAATATATTAGAATAATAATTTATAGATATTAAAATATACTATTTTCCTTATAAATTTTATGTAATTGTTATCAAACTTGTATGATTTTCGTCGAAACGTCGAACTTCTTTTTTACCCTTTTCGCGAACATTTTGTTAACATAATTTTCGAGCCGTGGTAATGTCTTTTAATATTGCATATTATAAAGTCCAGTTTCAATTATAAAATTTTAAATAAATGCGAAAGACATTCGTTGATGTAATGAATGGCCGTCAAATTTTCACGTTACTAGAGTATACTCATCGGGTACTCATTGTTTTTACGTTGTAATATTTCTTTCCGTGCGAATATATAAAGCTGATTCAACATTTCGTTAAGTATGTCGAAACATACTTAATGCGTAAGAGATATGATATAAGTTAATTAATTTCTCCCATATTTTACAGGAATTTTGTGGCTGGGGTCCTGCAATTCCAATTGTATCGAGCATTATGCCAGGCTGCGGGTCAAAGATCCGAAATCGACAATCCGAGGAGGCCGCTGCACAGATGTGACTTTTATAGAAAGCCCGAGGCCGGCAGGATCTTGGGGTGAGATTCAAAAAATTCAATAAATTATATCATACACTTATAAAATCGGACGAAACCGGCAATCATCTCTGCGTCATTTTTTTACGCCACGTCTTGCGCAAATTCACTTTGTACGAAAAGCGGACGTGTAGGCGTAATAAAAGCCCGCGTCTTTTAATAATTGGTATTTAATCAGCATGTACGACTACGTGCTTTCGCAACGACGTGTTTCTTTACGACACGAAAACGAATGCGACGAGATCGATGATCGATCGCGATCGGCTTCATCGAGTTCGCTCGCGGACGTCCGAAAGAGCGAGCGTTTCTCCCGTCGCGCTTGCATATCGTAATTTTTTTTACAATTGAAAACTGCGTCGCTAGTTCGAGTCCTCTTATTTCGACGCGAGTACGCAAAACAAGTAAAAAAACCACAAGTACCGCTTTACTGGTTAAATGATATACTAAAATATTGTAAAAAAAATACATCGGTGAATACGTAACCGGTAACTCGTTCGACGTCGATGTGAATTACATATAATATAATTGAAAAGAAACGACACAGACACGACAGATTTTTTTTTTTATTTACATGACATATATTTGAGTAAAGGATACTTGCAGAGGCGTGTTAGGCATTGCATTAAAATGTTCGCGCATTTCTGAGAAGACTGAAGATTATCTGAATAAACATTGAAATTAAAAAACTGCCGTACAATCTAGGTCGAATAAAAAAATGTAGATCACGGAGAATGTTATAATATCGAGAGAAAGGAGCAGAATGAAGGAAACCGCTCAATGATACCGCAACTTCGTCATTGCTTCAATTACATTTTTTTTTCCTTAATACAGAATAATCCTTAAAATGTTTTGTGACATTTTTTGTCAGATCGTATATGTTAAGAATGATATTTAAAACTAATTGTGCATCGCATAAATATTTAAAACTAATTCTGCATCGCATAAATACTACATCTTAATTTTATTTAATTAATATTGCAAAATTTTAAATATAATTAACTGTCAACTCTGGATTTTTTTATTTTGAGACCATTTTATCACAGCATCGCGTTAAAAATACTGTCGAAAAAACTTTAAAAGATACTTCTGAAGATAGCTATGTTTATCGCCTATTTCTCTTTCAAAACTTGTTAATTATACCCAATTTTAAAAACGAGATGTTATTTTTGATTCAACCTATTCGGACCATACAGTGACCGGATTGCCATCTTAAAATGTCAGTGAATCCGGATTCCAAGAATTCAGAGAATTTCACAAGACGAGGCCGTAAACTCGATCAATGTCTCATTCCGAGTCTTGACATTTTGTCCCCGAATCTCCTTAAAATTCAAGGTTAGATTATTTTTTAACGTAGGATACATAAAAAATACACACGAGATGGATATAAAATCTGAGACTTCCTGAAAAGAAAACGAGAAAAGTTGCATCTTATCGATTGATTTTTGCCGATCGTTGCGAATAATTTAAAAATGGACGGAATATTAATTTCGTAATTATATTTTAAAAAATTATATGACTTGTATGTGTTTAGTAATGTGACATTATAATTTTTATTAGTCTTGTTGAATTATTTAAATTTGAATCCGCGATTTGACGTTCATATGTACTGTCTACGTACACATATGATATAATTCTTCAAAAATATAAATTATATATTTTTTTAAACATTAAATTTCAAAAATGGATAGTTTAATTCAAACTAGATCGCCTAGTCTGACAACTTAATTTTATATCGCCACTTGAAATGATTAGTTGAATTTCGTATTTATTTGCTTGCACAATCGCGTCCATTACTTCTTATGTAGCTATATTTGGAATATCGAGCATGAAATCTCTAAGACGATTTCGACATTTATAATTGCGTGTCTTCACGATATTTGTTCTCGTATGAATATCTTCCAAATGATTGCTCGCCAGTATAGACACTAATTATTATAGCAATTATTGAAAGAAAGTAGTTATTAACGATTCTAAATTGGTAAGGACTCGAGTCTGTTTTGAAACATTTTAAACAATTATTTATGATACTCTTTTTATACACATTATCGATTTTTATATACATATATTTAATGTTATATTTATTATTTCTTTTTACGATAAAATTTTTTCCTCCCAGATATTAATGTCCGGTATAAAAATTTTAAATTTAAAGAATTCTGATTATTTTAATTATTTTTAAGTGGTTTCAGTTTATTTGCCAACAAATCCTTCTCTAGAGAAACTGCATATGTTGCGTAGCTGGGAGCAATAAAAACACGCTTGCGAGCCATTAAATAAAAATTGCAAAATTAAATGTGGGCAATGTACATACAGTGATATAATGCGCAATAATATAGCTAGCTGCCTTGAGAAAAATGACGCTAAGTGGTCGTTCTTAGCGCCAAAGTAGCGATTCTATATGTTTACGCGGCTTCTAGGTTTCGCGCAAACGTTCGACGCCAGGGATTGTGGTTTTGCGTCGTTGATTACGGGGCGCACATTATGCACATTATGCACATTATGCACGCGAGCGCGATCGTGATCCTCGACGGGTGTTGCAAGATGCGTGCGCCACGGTAATGACGCTTATTGTTAAGATCGTATCGTTCTATCGTGAAAGACACGCGGATTTTGACACGCGGCGCCTTTATTGATGGAGAACTCTCGTTTGCACTTGCTCGTACGCCAAGCCAAACAAACTTCCTCGTTATCCACGCGATTGGTCCACATTGAATTTCATTGAGTGTGTCTCGCGCGTGGCTGAGCATTTACGTTACCGATCGCTTCACGATCGGATCTTGATCGCCTTCTCGACGGACGAACTGGTGGACGTTATCTGGGTCAACGAGAGGGAAATCTTCGTCCGGTTCTGCAATTTCTCCGCTGCGCCAGGACTTTGTCCTCTCTTATAAATAACAAATATCGCGGCGCGTCGTTTCTACAATTTTATTTTATTTAAACGAGAGTATCCCGATAATAATTACGTACGTTGGTAGTTATTTACGGAAAGCGGAGACGTGGATCTTACAATTAGTTCACGTTTAGAATGGCGGACACGTAATCGAGCTGTAAAACTAGACAAAACTACAAAAACACGGGCGTTTATAATCAGTACGTACTACATTGATATTACACATCGATATTTATATAATCGCTGCTGATTACGTGAGTAAAAGTTCTTGCAGTAATAGTTGTACGACATGAAACGTGTAATACGATTTCCATATTCGTTAAAAGAACGATGTAATAAATATATAAAGATGCAATTTTCATACGTTATGAAAATATCAACCAGTCAGGATCGATTGGTTTTTATAAAGATGTTTACTTCATTGGAATTTATAATTATTCCAAAATTTCGATCGACCTTTGTTGACATGCAAAATATCTCGAGCGATTAAATTCCAGTGCGTGTCGAAAGGTAAGATAATAAAATCGGCGCGACGTAAAAAAATTATAAAAAGCGCGAAATTCTGCCAAAGATAGGAAAGGAGCGAGATAACATACGCACTTAACTGAAATACCCAGGTTCCTTCATAGTTACGAAATCTCATTCGCGTTAAAGAGTTACATAAAATGACAAAAAGCATCGGGCGGCGATATTTTTATTCTAACGTGATAATTTATGTTAGAAACGTTCCCGTCTCTTTTATGTATTCGTGAGCTGAGTCCGCGGACTCTATCGTGCACATTTCCAAGCGTAACGCGGACAAAGTTTTATAGATGTGGAAAGTTGCATGATCCTCTTGGCAAGCGGAAACTCGATAAGGATTGTTCCGCATTTGAAGGTGGTCGGGTTCGTAGATCGAAATCTTTTGGCAGACAGCCAAGTTGCCGAGCCATCCTGCAATAAAGCAGTTTTCTCAGAAGCTAAACTAATCTCGATAGAATATAAAGCTGTAATATATATGAGCAGTAAAATGCAATAATAAATTATATATGTAAAACTCGAATGAAAGATTTATAGATTGAAATTAGAATTGACCAAAATTACGATTAATTGTGGCAAGCAATTGTTGAATAAATGCATGAAGAAATGGGAAAATTCCAACAACGATTTATCTATGACAAGTTAATAAATGTGTCGCAGTAAACAAATTAAATTACATTTATATTATTAGAATGAATCTCTGATTTTTTTATCGTTACAATATGTGCTCGTTGCTTAAGCTTGCGATCGATACACGAAAAAAACGGTTCTGTTGAAGTATCTAAAAATTTAGTTAAATACGGATGTAAAAATATTTGTTGAACTATTAAAATATTTATGTAGGACGCTCAATCTCAATGTAGGACGTGAAAAGAACGATGTAATATATGAAGTAAATATATAAAGATGCAATTTTCGTACGAAAATACCAACCAGGATCAATGCTGTTAAAATATCAAAATTTATTACTTATTATGCTTAAATTTTACATAATTATTTATATAAGCCAACGAAATAATTATTTTTAGTTTGTGTCTCTCTACATTCAGAAAAAAATTATTCATTAAACTGAATTAATTGTTTATTAATAATTAATTAAATTAATTTAGTTGTCTTTATTTCTTTCGTTAAAGAATGTATATATTTAAAAATTAAATATAATACGTTTGATTTAAACATTCTTCATCGAAATAAATATTATACAAACTAAATGATTTTAATTTAACTAAACAATGTAACTAAATTTTTAAATATTTCAGCAAATCGTTTTATGCGTGTACGCAAATTTTTTTGTGCGTGCATCGCGCAGCATGTTGCGAATTATCGGTGTCCAAAGGAAAAACTAGCTAGATTTTCATCGTACGCGAAAATCGAGATTCCATTGATCAAGATCGTGTGACTTCCTGTAATCGAAGGACGATTTCAAACTCTCGCTTTACGGCATGCATTGACTATGACACGATATTAATTGCGAAAGCGCGATGCAAGCACAAAAAAAAAAGAAAAAGAAAACAAAAATGTATAAAAGTGTACATGTGTCGCGCAAATCGCCGACAATAGCCGATATTTTAATATAAAAATCCGCAAACAAATC